GAGGAAGTATATCTGATTAAAAGCATTCCCTACAGTCGCACTGTCATTTAACAAAACGTACCCATTTTCTTTGGGGGAAAAGCTCAAGCCTAAAAGGCATATCAAATTGCAACTGAAATAATAAAACATCCTGCAGGTAATAATCAAATGCAAAACCAATGCACTTCAATAACTAGAGGAACACGGGAAGGAAAATGGACGAGAAGGACAAAGGCATTACCAGATTCAGTTATTATTAGACATTCTGAACAGGCTTTATGAAACTCTCTTTGGCCAGGACCTTTCAGCATCATACAGAAAACAAACCAAGAATTAGTGCAACGTTTTTTTTTTCCTGAAAGAATGGCAACTTAAGAGTATTGTTTACAGATTTTATTTATTTGACACAAAATGTTCCAGATACTTGATCTGAAATCAAATATCCTCTGACTTCAGAGGTTACAGAACTACATATATTATCTCTTACATCCTTTTGGGATGCTAATTTTCCAAATTTCTCCAACAGTGAAGATGTTACCATGCACAAAAATGCATTATGAACAGATTTTTGCACTCCAGAAATTATAAAGACCAAATAGGATGCTGAGATCAGACACGGTGCATTTTTAAATATTATACACAATTTGTGAAAAATTCTAATCCTTCAACACAGAGCACATATCTTGTTCTTAGGTTACAGATGAGTTTGAGCTCCATCTAGCTCTGTCTCTAGAGGTTACTGCTTACTGTTTTTTTTAGCATCCAGGGATTTTGTACATCAACTGAACATCAAAAGACCAACCAAACTTAACATACTTCCTTAGCTCTACTTCTCCTTTCTCTGCTTTACAATAAAGATTCAGGTTTTGACTTTTTAACAGTATATTAATTTAATTCCAACATTTACCGTGATGAACTCATGGACAGAAAGTTTATGCTAGTGCTGTTTTACTCACCCATGAAAAACCGGGTCTCTATTTGAGAGGAAGGATTTTTTTGTTGTCTTACTCATTTTCTTTGCTCTGAAATTCAATTCCCTAACCACAATCTTTGTGAAGAAGCTTTGTTCTCAGCTCTTATCTACATCTTCCAAGATCATTACAACTGCAATGGTAATTCACTACCAAAATTCCGTTTACAGCATAATAAAGTCTTGAGCAACTAACTGCTTCTTCCCAGATAGGAATTTCGCTTTGAACTGGCACGGGGAGGTGACAAGGCAAACATATTCAGTATCAGGCAGAGTCTGGGCATCATCTTCATATTCAACTACAGAAGAAATCATAGTAATATGGCCTGAAGGTGATAAATTAATTTTGGCTAGGTTCCTGTCTGGGAGGAAAGAACAATTTTCCTAATGAGATAAAGATGAAGGAAGACAAGGACCTTTAGGCAATTGGAATTTAGTCTGAGAGAGGCCCTAATAAATCAGGTTGTGCTTCTCTTTGTTTAAGGAAATACCTGTTAGGATATCCGGGGCCTGTTTATTTTTCTCTGACAAACCTGATTTTCTTTGCAGTGCACAAACTCAGAATCATACATTGAAATAAGAATAAAGGCAGGTGGTCAAATAAAAGTTTCAATTTTTTTTTTTCATCTAAAATAAGTAAACACAAATCCCAGCTGATGGGATTCAATCTACACAGATCTCCTGCTACCTCAAAACTTGTATTTCTATATGCAAAGTATCCACAGCCAAATGAGCAGATTTGCTTGGAAAACTTGCACTAGAAAAACTAGGAAATATCAATATTCTCACAAACATGCATATGAAGTACCAAGAGGTTAGATGGGAGGGATTGAAAATCCCACGGAAATAGCAAATACAGAAGATGCAGCCCCTCCACACAGTACTCTTGGTGGGCCACACACTCCACAGACTTCAAGCAAGCTCATATTGTGAGCAGCAGATTTAACACATGAACACTTTCCTGTAGCACTACTATCACTGCTGACAGCAGCAGCAGCAGCTCCTGCACCAGTTGGTCACTCCGCTGAACACACAAACGTTCCTGTACCACAGTCCCATGACAAAAGCTACAGCCTTCATCAGGTAGATTCTACTTCACCAGTCTCTCACCTCAACCCCCAAGAAAAGACTGATATCACTGTATCTGCCACTGCCTTTACTGCAGAACAGTTTGGGACCTCTGGCTATCATGAACTGACAGGGAGGCCACGTCCCGAGTCAATCAGGCTGTTGTGAAGGCAGCAGCCGCAGCTCTACAAGCCACACATTCCTGCTCCTCCCTTATGCCAATTCAGGACACCACATAGCCATTGCTAGCACCACAAAATTATTGGGGCACTTGGGTAGAAGTAGCAGAAAAGGCAGGATCACTTCCTCAGGGAGTTCACACATTGATCAACACACAGTGAGTGTGCAACCAGCCCTCAAGAAACCACCGCCCTGCTTGTGCTACACAGTTTCCACAGTCGCCGGCAGCAGCATGCAGTCTCAGCCTGTCTCTGCCTGAAGACTAGTCACTGTCTCTCCTTCAGGACAAGAATGACAAAACCTGGATTTGTCAGATTCTTAAATATCAATTTCAGGGTGTTGAAGAAAGAAAAGGTCATATTTAAATGCTAGGTGTAGAGTTACAACAGGCTAAGAAAACAACCACCTCTGTGAAAAGCCTGTTATATTTCTGATCTAGACTGCACATTGCATACTTCAACCTAGAAATTAATAAAAAGCTACAGCCAGCAATTATATTATAAATTAAAATGTAATAAAGCATTTCAAATTGCCTTGGATATTATAAAATTCTGTGCCTGAAATACTCTTTATCTGAGGGATTATATCAGCTGTTGCTCTGGGACTCCCTGTACAACACAACAGCTTTTTCCATGCCTGTCTTCTGAGACACCAGCAAGTGACCGTTCTCTCTGAAGGAAGACAAATCATAAAAGCTTAATTCCTCTTCTCCTCCCTTTTCCTCCCCTGCCTTAAGAGAGCTGTCATCCCCAAAGGGCAGCAGACCATCTGACTTCACTTTCAAGAGTGCAAATTTGCTTTCAGTAGTGTCACATAAAGATCCAGTAATTCAGAAATTTCTGTATCACTGAATGAGCACATTATAGCTTTTGTGGTGATTCTTCAGAATTCCGACAGGACGTTTATCTACCTCAGAAGATTTATTCAAACCATGAAAAGACTTAAAAATGCAGATAGCTGGCAATGAAAAATATTTGAGGTCTACCTCCATCAGGCTGCGAGGAATTATTTCTCTGAAACTTTTCATATAACCAATTTGGACATTAATAAATAACGTAGTTGGGGATTTGCTTCCAACACACCAGTAGCGGATCAAGAAGCTTCTCTGAAAGGGTCAGTAACACGGTACTTACCTTGTTCTCTTTCACTGCAAAGCAAATCATGCCAGTTTCAGCCTCTGAGACCATAGGGAACTGTTGCAATACATCCAGTGCAACATTCATCTCATAGTACGATGCTCCCAAACCCACATAAGCACCAACAATTCCATGTCTTTTTGCTTTAGATGTATGCTTGTACAATGCCCATGTAAACCATAGGAAATGGTGTGCATCTAAATCAATACCTTATAAACACAGCAATGCAAGTTCCTAGTACTCAAGAATTCACTATATACTTCAAGAGAGTAAAATATTTCATCTTGGAATTGATTTTTAAAAAATTTTGTTTAAAAAGAACATCAACCAACTTCTCTACGTACTGACATAGCATTTCAAGGGGTATTTTTGGTAAATACTTTTTCTTTAAAGCAAGGATGAACAAAAAATCTGTATCACTGTTCATTAATTTTGTTTTGACATATTGCTGCTATTGTTATAAATAAAAGCAGTAAGTAAGGAAACCAACTATGCTTCAGATTGAATCTCCTCTTTTTGCCACCCCCTGATTTATAGCTGCCACCATTAAAGCACATTTTCACTGAAATCTGGATACATATGTTAAAGAAATCTACAGTATTTCAGCCCTTCAATCTAATTTTCAAAAAAACCCAACTACAATATAGTTCATACCAAGGTATTAAAGTTAGGTTTACCGATATGTTTGCTGTTCGCAAGCAATGGATGTTTTATTGTCTGTGGCAATACAAGTAGGGCTTACAAAAGCAGGTATGAGTCATTCCTTAACCAACTAAAATGTTGACCTCAGTTCCTTAAAAATCAAACAGGATATACATTTCTTGGAAATTTTTCCTAGCACCATTTCTTTGTCACACTACCTTTAGCAGTGTCAGTAAAGGATTCTATGCTTCTAATTGCATTCTATTCCATTAACTCTCATGAACTTATCAGAAAGAACAGACCCAGACAGTTCTATTTTTACTCACATTCTATAGTTTCAAAAATATAGAGAAAAGCACATGTCAAGTTTTCTTTTTCTTTCTTTTTTTTGCTTCTCTATTTGGTGGGACTTAAGCATGTGCATAAATGCTTTCCTGAATCAATGCCAGCACTTTATAAAATGACAATAACTTATGTACCACTTCTCAATACAATGTTCTTTGTAAAGAGAGTTTGAAGACAAAAGTGACTTCTCAGAAATAATCTACAAAAATGTAGAAAAATCAGAATTGTCAAACATTTTCCAATTCAGCTTTAGTAAATGAAAAACTACAAAACAAGCGCTTTTATTACAAACTTCTAAGAAGGAATGCACCTAACAGTACAAATTAGTGGCTTCTAAATGGAGGATCAATATCTCATTGCATTTTACACAAAGAGCTAAAACCCCATGCTGTAACAATACAAAAAAGAGAAAGCTTTACAGATCAGGTTACTTGTCTGATTTGACGTTTTTAATAGACTATACATCTGGCTACAGCCATTTCAGAGTCTCAATCACAATTGTTAAAAGCAGAGATTAAAAAAAGAGGCAGTTTATGACTTCTAAGTATTTTCTACCATTCTATCAACACTACAAATGCCTTTTAATGGAGACGTAGCTAGCTGACAATTATAAAGCAGCATCTTGGTGTTGCTCTGTATCATGACAGATTACTTAGATTAAATGATATGTATTATCTTACCTGATACATTCCAACTCCTATATGTTTGGGCTCAATTTTCACTAGTTCAGCTAATGGGTCTTGAACGCGTCTAGCTATAGAAACTGAAAAAGAGAATTAGAAAACAGTGATGGATTTTGTCTGAGAAACCAAAATCATATAATTGCTTTTGTTAATTTTTCTTCTTACATCTTCTGCATATTTAATTTCTTTTAAACCTGGAAATAATCAATAATACATTTTTTTTTGCTGTTAGACACAGGTCATCAAATATATATTAACTGAATTTGTTACTCGAGTAATTCAAGCAAAGACCTAAGGAGATTTCAAACTGTAATTGTGACATTTAAGTTTTTGAGCCACGGAGTTAGTAAATAAAACTGTACATTATACTTTTTCCCATGTATCCATAATAAATCTATATGTAACATTTAAACTATGTAAGAAGCCTTTACCTTAACTCACAGATATGTAGAAACAAATAAACATATAAAAAACCAATGGAGTAACTTCACAGACTTGTTCATCTAATATAGTATTCACTAAGGTATATATTTTATCCTTATATATTATATATTTATCTAATTCAACCATAAAATTCAGTGTTAACTTTGAAAATGGTTCTTTGGCTTGACTAATCTAAACTGCATAACAAAACACACCAATCGCAAAACTGCAACCTGTCATTGCTATAACAACGTTTAGAAAAACAAAAGAAATTTCCAACATTTCTGACGCCTTTAAGAGCACACGGTCTTCTAAAACGAAACGTTGAAGCAAGCCTACATTTATTAATAAATCCTTTGCTTACCGAAATCTCAGAAAAAAAAAAAAAAAGCTCTATTTGCAAATATAAATTCTCAACTATGGTCAGATTCCACAGATACTGTGCTGTATTCAGTACAAATCCCACCCCTAGACCTCCAAAACAATAAAAATTAAAACCAAAACAAACAAAACCTTCAAAAAAAAAAAATTAAACAAGAACTCCCATACCAATGCCAGATCTCATTGACAAGGCTGCTTTTCCTACCACATGCACTTGTTCAAGAATAAGAGAAGTGTGTGGGACACAAGAAAGCTGTGATCCTTTAAAAGCTATGTCCAGAATCAACTCCATAGGGCATTAGCAACTTCAAGACACACTTCCTAAAATTTATTTTACATTTAAATACATTTTTAAGCAAATCAAGAAAGGGTTAGAGGAAGAACAGGAGTTAGAAGTAAAAAAGTATGGGCACAGTAGTTTGGTCAAACGCACATTGTTTAAATAAGAAAACTGCAAGTATCTCCAGGGGTCAATAGCTGATTTTACACATATATAAAAACATGAACATGCTTATAATTATCGTATATTATATATTGTATATTATATATAGGTAAAATAATATATATATATATGTATGTGTTTATAAATACATTTATAAGGCACTTTACTGAATCACAGAAGTGTTTAAGTTGGACACTCTAGAGAACACATGCTGTCTAGTCAGCTACAGCAGGTTGCTCCAGATCACATCCAGTTGGGTGTAGACTCCACAACCTGTCTGGTCAATCCATTCCAGTGTTTGGCCACCCTGACAGTAGGTGTTTTCTCATGTTCAGATTGAATTTGCTGTGTTCCAATCTGTGCCCACCACCTTTTGTCCTAACAGCTGGCCTTCTGAGAAGAGTCTACTTCTCTCTTCTTCATTCCCTCCCATCAGGTGTTTATAGCTATTTGTAAGATTGCCCTGAGCCTCCTGTTCTCCAGGCTGTGCAGTCCCAGTTCCCTTGGTTTCTCCTTGTATAAAAGGTGCCCCAGACCCTTAACCATCTTTGCAGCCCTAATTTAAATTGTGACCATCACTACTGCAGGGTGTTAGATTTCACAGCATTTCAGCAAAGAACTTGACTAAACATTGACACTTAAAGCCAAAATAGTAGCCAGAGCTAACATTTATTGGCTATGCGGGCTCCTCAAACCACAATTGCAAAGTTTAGCAATTAAATGCTGCACTAGAGATTTCATTTTTAAAGATCTGCACTGCTAAATGCACAGTTATCATGAAGTTCACTGCTCGGTCATGCAAGACTTTTCATATCCTTTATTATCCATTTTAACATGCTGACAAAGGCAGTTTGCTAGCTAGGGCCAGAAAGCACTGTGCTGGTGACATCTGATATGCCTGCTTCTCTGATTGAGAAGTTCTAAATTCAAAGACAACCATATATGCCTTCTTGTAAGGAGAAAAAAAAAAACAACCATGAAAGATTAACCAGTGTAAGTACAGCAGTTATCACTTACACAAGTATAGCTTAGTGCATAAACACTTCTCTATAACAATAATTCATATTAATTACTTTGAAATACTAGTGGTACCTATCACCCACCACCTCACAAACAAAAGCGAAACAAAGCACCAATTAAAGCAGTGTTGATTGTTTCCTTCCAAAGAAGGAAACACAACTATATATTTCTTCTGAATGCATCGATGCCTATGTATAGGTACTATACTTGTCCTTCAGCAACCCTCCTTAAACTTAGCTTGCTTGATAGCTATATGACGTTTTAGAGAATTTTTCAAAGTTACATTTCAGATAAGCTGAGAGCAAATACCTCACTGTCCATATCTCCTTTCATTATATCTTTTAAAAATAGACAACTACGTGGATAGGTTGATAAAGGAATTTTCCAAGCATAAACTTCTCTTGGGAACCTTCAATCAAAAAATAAAATTTAGACTCTTTTTGTCATAATAGCTTGGTTGACAATGCTGTCATATCCCTAGGAGGCTTCCAGTGGAGGCGTAGGACCGGATCCAGCAAAGCACTTCAGCACAGATGCATGTCGGTATTCCCACCGGAACAAGCAAAACTATTCACACGCATAAAGTTACACAGACATTTAAGTGGTTTCCTGGATCAGGCCTAATAGTTACAATATCTAAGCAATATCAGCTAACAGTCAGTTATACTATTTAAGGGATGCAGCTCCTATGGCCAATACCAGCAGGATAGCTGACCTGCGTAATTCCCACTAAAGCCGCGATTTTACTCCAGAACTTTTCAAATTAATAAATCAAAGAGTGCACAGTAGGAGAAAGGTAAGAATTGTCCACATTCTCTCTAAGCAGAAACTCAGTCAAGATTAGCATCTACTGCCTCTTGTACAGGCAAATCCTCTCATTCTTTGCTAGAGTAGCTGCACACTGCAATACCTGGGTCTGTTTAGGGGGAATGAGGCTCCACTCTGGCCATTTGACCCATGTGCCTGGACTGCTAAAATACAAGCAGAGTATCACTGAAATCACAAGGGCTCTGCAGGAGTGCAAGGTCTACTCCTATGGAGCAGAGACAGTAAAACCTGATGGTCTGACATTTTCCCCTTAAAAACTAAATCAAGACTATGGAATTTGATTTTCATATTGAACTATTTTACACTAATATGGGTATTGCCTAAAACTACTTGTTTTTATCCTTAAAGTAAATTTCAGAAATTATTAGAAACCATGCATTTTCAGAAGACTAAAAATGAAACAGGTAATGCATTCTCACCTTCACAGATATTAAGGTATTCTTTACTTTTGCTCAAGCAAATACAAAATAAATGATTTGATGGCATGCAGGGCAAATCTAGAAAATCATATTTCTCAAAAGTTATCCACATGGCCAAACATGAAAAGCTTGAGATGCCACTCTTAAAAATATGCTAATCTAAGTAAAATGTGAAAAAAATCCTGTTCAATATTAAACAAGGTATTAAGATCAGGATGACATGACCCGCTATTAGAAATAATTGCACACTTGAGGAACTTAAAGCTTTGAGTTGTGAATTAAGAAGAAAATATTACTGCAATACTTGGAATCATTATAACATACTGTGCTTCCCTACAGTTAATTAATGTAAAATTTTAACAGTTGGGGGGGACAGGATGGTCTACCTCATCCTCCAACTTCAATGTAGATGAACTTCGCATCCAAATGCAATGAGAAATAAAGAAGGTTACAGAAAGCATATTTACTGTAATCCTGTCTTGTCATTAGGGCATCTTCTGGCATTTAACTGCTTGGAAGTCTTGATTCACTCTACACTTCAGTTATTTGACAATACAAACCCACCAGGCAGTAAAGTGTGCTTGCATGTCTCCAATGAAGATGCCAGTGTGGTGAGCAAAAAGCATCCATAAGAGTTGCTTGCACAATTCACGTCAATCTCAGTGTCTGATCTTCACAGAAAGTAAGGAATTACATTAAAATGTTTGGTTTCCTAATGCCTAATGAGCAGATATGCCCTCATGAGCTTGGAAACACACCTAATGATCTGGCTACTCCTGTCTTTAAAATATCAAATCTCCCCTTATTTCAAATTGACAAATGTAAAATTAAGACTATTTTCCTTACACATACATGTCATATAACTCTGTTCCTCTAGTACTTTCTACAGCAAGTGATAATCATTTTTCACAGGGATTAAAAAGGAGAGTTTTCACTCAGGAATACTGATAATAGTTTTCAGGCTAAACATTTTCAGACTAAAGATGATAAAAACTGTCCACTCTCAACAGTGAGGGGAAAAAACAATATAGCAGCCTTCCAACTATTTCTCTAGATGGTATCTATATAAGGGTCACATCAGCTGCCAGCCCTAAAAAAAAATCCAGAATTAGTGCTAACTTCTTAGGCTATCTGCCTCGCTTCAGTAATGGAACAGGTCTAAAGCAATCACTAAGACCCAAATCAGACATGCACACTATTTAGGGTGCAAGGGCAGCTGGAAATCTTGTCAACTGTATAAAATTTATTATGGTTTCAAGTATTGTGCCCAATTTGGGGGCAGGCTGCCAACTCCTGTGTTCAGAAAACTGCATATTGAAATGTTCTCTTTTTGCATTGCTCTATGTAAGAACTCAATGGCTTAGATAAGGAAGGACTGAAAATGAGGAATGCTTATGGGTAGAATGAAAAAATGCAATTTCTTTCAGTTACAGTGGCATTAAAATGTTGCTTGCCAGTGTAGGCAGAAAAACATTTTTGGTCAAAAGTCCAAGATGA